GGGTCATTTATCTTTTGGGTCTTTGAAGAGTCTTTTCCTTCTTTGTTTGAGTCAATTCAAGTGTCCAATTTGAGGTGTGAAAGTTGTGAACTTGCAAAACATAATAGGTGAACTTATTCTTTGAGTAATAAAAGAAGCATTACTATGTGAGGATATAAGTACTTATTGTTTGTTGATGATTATTCCCATTTCACTTGGGTTTTTTTATGTGCTCTCAAGATGTGGTTACCACTTTAACACAAGCTTTTCATCAAATGGTTCTCACCCAATTTGAACTTCTTCTTTTATGTGCCTCGGCCTAGGCGTGCACCTTTTGAAAATTTCATGCTTTTTTTTTAACCTAGCGCCTTCTGAATTTTTTTTGAAAATTTTGCTCGCTTCACTCGCTCACCGAAGCTCAGAGAATCCCATATTTGCTAATGTTGTTCATTTATTCATTCTAATAAAAATATCTTCTTAAAAGGCAATTAAAGTTATAAAATCATTGTTTTTTATATGAGAATTAAGAAATTAAGACCCTAACATGGACTTGTTTGGGCTTGCCTCAAGGGGCATGATACAAAGGCGGCTCGTAGAATTAGGAATGCAATATGTTTTACATCACCTTAGCTACTTGAAGTAATGCAATTAAAGAAAAAAGAGATTGTGGGTTTTACATGTTATGTTTATGTATTTTAATTTTAGATAATAGGTTTTATAAAATATTTATTTTTAAAATTCAAGTTTATTTTTTATTAATATTATATTTAGTATTTTTTAATTTTTTATTTTTGCGCCTTGCTTTAAAAAGGCCCACACCTCGCCTTGCGCCTCAGGCGCAAATTGGTCCTTGAGCTTTTTTGTGCCTTGCGCTTTTAAAACACTAGTATAAGCTCAGTTAGATCACACTTCGTTCATTAAAAAGAATGGGTCTTCTTTGACTCTCCTTGCCATTTACGTAGATGTCATTGTAGTGACAAGCAATAATATTGATGAGATTGATTCCTTTAAGTAGCTTCTCAAGAAGGAATTTGAAGTCAAAGATTTGGGTGAATTAAGGTATTTTCTGGGAATTGAGGTGGCTCGGTCCAAGCATGGAATTTTTAATTCCTAGAGGAAGTATATCCTTGATCTCGTAGGGGAAATTGGGAAACTAGAAATCAAACATGCAAACACACCGATTTAGTTAAATCACAAGATTAGTGCAAAGGGTGGTGGGCTTCTTGAAGACAAGGCCATGCATCTATGCCTTGTAGGAAAGCTTTTGTATCTTTGTCTAACAAACACTAATATTTCCTATGCTATCAATCTTGTCAATTAGTACATGCGCTCTCCCAAAACCACCCACCTTGTAGTAGAGAGGATTCATATGACCAAGGTATACTTTTTATGGACAATGGTCATATGAAGATAGAAGTGTACACTGATGCTGACTAGGTCAGATGTGTTGATGTTGGGAGGTCCACTTCAAGGTATTGTGCTTTTGTTGGAGGGAATCTTGTGTCTAGGAGGAGTAAGAAACAGAATGTTGCTGCTTGTTCAAGTGCTGAAGTGGAGTATATGTCTATAGCTCACGGAGTGATTGAGGTGTTGTGGCTGTTATCCCTTCTTGAAGAGTTAGGTGTTGAGTATGAAAGGCCTTTGATGTTGTATTGTGAGAACTAGGTTGCGATTAATATTGCTCACAACCCAAAGTGACATGATAGAACAAACATATTGAGGTGGATCAACATTTTATCAGGGAGAAAGTTACCACTTCGAAAGTGTGTCTACCATACACTGCCTTTAACATGCAACTTGGGAATTATCGATATTTATTCTCAACTTGAGGGGCAGTATAGAAATACAATAGGTTAGTCTTGATCTATTATTGGAGTGTGGTCCCATGTTCTTTTAAGCCCTTTTTATTGTTGTTTTCTACTCTATTATTTGTCTTCTTTTATCTTATGGGTAAATTGTAGATTAGTACCCTGTACCTAGGGGCTAGTCTCGCTTTAGTACCCAAACTGCTAAACATGCCATTGCAGTACCTGAACTCTCAAAAATTGCCAATTTAGAACCCACCGTTAGTAGTCCAGCAATTATTTGTATCACATGATGGCATGTGACTTAAATTTTTAAAAATACCAAAACTACTCTTTTAATATTTTTAGACCATTTTACCTTTGTCTTCCTTGGTGACGACAAAAATTACTGTCTTTGACAACAATGATGGTCTAAAACCCCTCTTTGTTATGGATTGAATAATTGAATAAAAAATTACAATGACAATCTAAATCCCTCTGGCAACGACGTTGTCTTCTTCGGTGACGTTTTTTCATTTAGCTTCTTTGGCGGGAAGCACTGGTTCTTTGGCATAAAGGTTAGGGCATAAATTGAACAGTGGTGCCCAATCACAATGAGAAGGGATTTAAACGTTGCTACATTGGCCATTTCAAAAGTATGCTTCTTTTGCCTATTCAAAACTCAAAGGGTATTTGTGTCCTTTCACATACCATTTAGCTATTGGTTGGGCTGAAATTCAGAATAAACTTGGCCAAACCTGTTATAGTTGCTGGCCGAATTTAAAAAAAAAATTCAATCCAACCCGAGAACCGATTTCTCCATATTTTGAAAATCTAAATTTTCAGGATCGAACTTGCAGCCTTGCACTGAACTGGACCGGATTTGGAACCATAATTAGAACTGAGCATACCTAATATGGAGACCACATAATGCAGCTCCTAGAGTGGTAGTTCATGCCCAATATCAAACCTAGATCGACCTCCAACTGAAGATGGCACAACTGTATGTGTAATGTTGATTCAATAATACTCGGTCGATTGGAACTCCAACTGCTTGGGATTCGATGCAGCTATGTGAACCTCCTTTTCTTTTGCTTTTCTTCAAAAACACAGTAGAGAGATGGTGGGAATCAGCCTTCTCTATAGCTGGTTAGTAGGGTTTTTGGGAGCAATGGAGAAGAGAGAATGAGCAAAAATGAGTGGGGAGAATGCATAGTTCACCCCTTCCCTCTAATCTCCTTTTATGGAGCACTCTCCTAATTGGACTAGGTCTTAATCCAAATCCAAATCAGATTTGGATTATGACTTAATCCTCTCATTAGAATAGAGCTCCATACCCATATTTGATCCATATCACATTAAGTTGTCATTTGACTTCTTTAACTAGTCTTACTAGTAATGGGCTTAGGCCCATTTTCTTTAATGGTTCACATATATAGGCGTTGCATGGCTTCTTAGGTCTCATACAAGTCCATATGGGTTTGACTCATGTCTGGAAAGAGACAGGTCTCATATAAGTCCCTGAGCTAATGGGTTCTTTAATGGGCTTGGACCTTCAAAGGTCTCATACAAGTCCCTGAGCTAATGGGTTCTTTAATGGGCTTGGACCTTCAAAGGTCTCATACAAGTCCATATGAGTTCGACCCATGTCTGGAAAGAGACATGCCAAATTCACTTTATAAGGCTAGTGAGACCCCTGAGCTAATCAAGTTGGGCTCAGTTTGGTCCAAACACTTAAGTATAAATGATCCTTGGGTTCAGTCACCCTATGAAACCCAAGGATAATGGCCTGATATGAGATAAAACACATCAAGTTATTAACCCTTTAATGGTCTCTTGCCCTTAACCTCTCAGCCCTGAATAATCAAAACACTGCTCATATGGAAGGACCTCTTCCATGACTTACCTTCTGCTCAGATGGATCTCGGTATTAAAACCTTTTGCAAACTTTTTTAAGAAAATAATATATATATATATATAGACACACACACACACACATACACACCTTGCAACTCCGATTTCAAGTACAATTGAAATCCACTATGGGCAGTTTTAGGTTTCCATCAAAGAGTGTAAACCCTGATATTTACTTTGTCTAACAAAGGGGCTGATCCTATCATTATGATAACCCACTCAGGTAATATCCTAAATTGCTCCAACATGACTAAGTATTTAACCTTAGATGGATCTCATTGGTTGGCATATCAAAAGCAGCTCAGTCGTAGACTTGATATTCACTTTCTAGTTTTGCCTGTTTCTCTCCAAGTTCCAAGGCATAATTGGAAATTGATCCAGGTTCAATGCTTCTCACAAATACCCACTAATTGTGCTTGGGGTTTAACCTTAGCAACTGAGACATGTTACTCTACCAATTCGACAGCACATCAGTGTCAGCCTTGTTAGGACAAACCCCCACATGTTTATCCAATGGCAGAGGACATTTTTAAACTAACACAAGTCTCATAAGTGTACAGTTTGAGGAGTAATTCATAGAAACACACCAAACAATAATGTACTTACATTATTCATATATGAAAGTCTATGTACGTCAATTTGATTGGAGCAAAGGGTATACACTGTCTAATAGATCCTGCTTGCACTTAGGTCTAATCAGGCATAAGCCTTAGTTCCATACTGACCACATGTTCTTAAATACTTTCTGTGTCAGTGGCTTAGTCAATGGGTCTGTCACTTTATCCGCTGATGCTAACTTTTGAATATAGATTTTCCCTTTAACAACATCTCACGTAGGATATGATATTTTTTCTCAATGTGCTTTGACTTTGAGTGGACTAGCGACTCCTTGGCTTGAGTAATGGCTCCAGTGTTGTCACACAACAGTGAAATGGATGATGTGCTTGATGGTACAAGTTACAACTCTTAACTCTTGGACATATTTCTTCATCCAAACTGTTTCCTTGGCAGCCTCACTTGCGGCAATGTCTACATTGTGTTTATGTGTTACTAAAGCAATTATAATTGTTCATTTATTTTCATAATCATGTTCAAAGTTACAATTTTATTTATACATTTTTTTAAAATAAGTATGCTGTTGCATAGTGAAATACAATGTTCATGGGTTTTTCTATTTTATTGGTAATTTTGTTGGTAGTTTTTCTCTTTGGTGGAACTTCTATTAATAGCTTATTTTGCCAAGACCTGTAAGTGTAGTTTTTTATGTTTTTTTTCTGATCATCTGATGTGCTTCTGCTTGCATTTGGGAAATTGTTTTGACAGAAACTTCAAAGAAGAAAAAAAAGAAGAGCAAAAGCAAGTGAGTTTCCTTTCCTCTAATTGTAAACTTGTAGTTATTTTCTCTAGGTGTAAATTGCTAATCACTCCTTTGTATTACAGGAAGAAGAAAGAAACTCTTCAACAAACCGATCCTCCATCTATTCCTGTTATTCAACTTTTCCCATCTGGGGAGTTCCCTGAGGGTGAAATTCAGCAATACAAAGATGAGTAAGTACATACTACTTTAAATAATTCCATACAATTAGGGTATAGCTAGACATTCAGTTTCTCTCTAGCTGAAAAAACTTGATAGGAAGGAGCCAATCAGGAATGAAAAATATTGACACCAAAGTAATTATATTTATCATGGTTCATGAAACCCGTTTATCTCCATTTCGTTTCACTATAATAGCTGATCTTCTTAGTAGGCTGATCTTGAGAGCGGATAGACTACGTCTAGTGGAGATTTTGGAGGATAGGCAGGGATCAAGTTGTATTCCACCTACTTTTTGCCAATGTTGTGGTTATTTTTTGCTGGGGGGGGAGGTAGTGTGACAAACCTTCAGTTGGTGAAATGCTCTGAGCTGCTTAGTGGGGGTAAGTAAGATACTAGTCAATAAGATACTTAGGATTACTCCTAGAGGGGAATCCAAGGGCATCCACTTTCTGGAACTGAGTATTAGATCAACTTGCTAAGAATCTTTTCAAAATGGAAAAGAATTACATCTCACTTGAGAGCATCTCTCTCATCCTTGTTGAAAGCTAATGTTTCTACATATCCATTGTTTCTATCCCATAGCAGGATGATGTAGGACTTGTGTGGGGGGGATGCCTCTTAAGGATCAATTTCCTACCATTTTTTCCCTCTCCTTCTAATAAAGACTGCTTAGTTTCTAATTGTGCTTTAATTTCTGACCAAGGTCGGAACTGGGGTCTGGAGCTTCATAAAGGAATCAGGGGTTGTGAAACCCCAACATTGTGCTATTTTTGATCTGTTGAATGGTGTTTTTGTTGACCCTGGTGCTTTTGATTCCAGAGTTTGAATCCCTTGTATTTCTGGAACCTTTTCTTGTGCGTATTTTTTTCTCTATCATTGGAATAGGCCCTCAGCCTTCCAGCTGGCAGTTTGCCATTGATACAGACAAACTGTGACATGAGGTCATTAAGAGCATTCATGGACTTAAGCCAATGGATGGAACACAGGTCTAAGCTTGAGAGCATCTCTCTCATCCCTGTCAAAAGCTATTGTTTCTATATATCCATTGCTTCTACCCCATATAAGGATGATGTAGGACTTGTGATGTGGGGGGAGATGCCTGTTAAGGATCAATTTCCCACCATTTTCCCTCTTTCTAATAATGACTGCTTGGTTTTCTAATTGTGCTTTAATTTCTGACCAAGGTTGGAACTGGGGTCTGGGGCATCATAAAGGAATCGGGGATTGTGAAACCCCAACATTGTGCTCTTTTTGGTCTGTTGAGTGGTGTTTTTTGTTGATCCCGATGCTTTTGATTCCAGAATTTGAACCCCTTATATTTATGGAACTTTTCTTGTGTGTTTTTTTCTCTTACATTGGAATAGGCCCTCAGCCTTCCAGCTCTTGCCCTGCAAATGCCATTTGGAGAGGTACCACCAAAAATTAGAGCTTTCTGTAGGGAGGTATTCCGTATTCTCTCCAGAGAAAGTGATGAGAACCCTTTCCACTTACTAATCTCTTGTGATTTTGAATCTATTATTGCATAAGAGTTGCTATTCTCTGGTGCTTATTGGAAGAAAGAAATGCAAGATTGTTTAGTTACAAGGAGTGATCAGCTGCGGAGATAATAGAAAATATCACTGTTAAAACGATTCATTGGGTCAAGCCATGTGGATGACATCATAAGAAATTTGATGCAGGTAGCAAAATCCTCAACTGTTACTGTTGTTCATGGCAATTTGGCTTATATAACTAAACTTTTATGGCTGTAGCATTGGGAATCTGGGCCATTCTGGGATTGGCGTTGTATTCAGAAATGAAGAAGGGTTGGGAGCTAACACAAACATGGGCAGCTAACACAAGTGTTGGGAGAAATTGTAAAATGGGTGCCTAGGCCGGCTAATGGACTGGCAAGGATAGGGGTGGGCAAGGAGCAAATTGTATTGAGGTTTGATTTAGTAAAAGGAGCTGTAATTGTAATGCACTTGGTGATTAGATGAGGCTAACCACTTCTATGTTTCTCTCTGTACTAGCATTTTATTCAGTAATGAAAAGCTTTAACTGTTATCTATCAACATACACATACATTATAAAATTTCTGTTTAATGGAGATGAAGAATATGATGAAGATCTGTTTAATGGAGATGAAGAATATGGGGGTTCTTGTTCTTCGCTAATGCTTCGTGAAGAAAGTTGTGGTTGATGCAAGGAAGACGAGGAAAATGGCGGAGCGGATGAAGGTTCTCCACGCGAGCTTAGTGGGAATTGTAGTAGGGAAAGAGGTGGACACAAAGGAGTTTGAAGCTTGGGCGATAATGGAATGGGGAAAAGAAAAGGTGTTTGGGGTAATGAAGTTGAATGCATAACTGCTGCTACTCATGTTTCATAGCAGGGAGTTTGCAGAGAAGGTTTTGGAAGGGGAACATACCTAAGACCAGAATTTCGACCTGAGACTAGATTGGTGGTTCCTATCGGTTGGTTGGGGAGCTGAGTGGTAGGAGAACGAGTTACGTGACATGGATTGGCGTAGTGGGGATACCCCTCCATGCTTGGTGTATCCTCACCTTCAAAGAAGTGGCTTCCACTTATTTGCAAGGTAATAAGTGGTGTATTCTTTGCAAGGTAAATGGTGAGGGTTGCTTCCACTTATTATTAATTTCCTGCACTTCCATTGTAACTATTTGGGTTTGGATTTTTGCCTTGTTTGGATGTAGGTGGAACCAACTTGCAAATATAAGCCTACTCTTTGATCCATAGACTTTTGTGTCGCCCAACAAAAAAGGGAGAATTATGTGGAGATGTATTAGAGCTGCGGCACTTTGGACAATTTGGGAAGAAAGGAATGCAAGGATTTTCCAAGAAAAGGATCTAAGTCTTTTACTTATCAAGGAGTGTATCCTAACCAGGGCAATTCACTGGCAAATAGCTCCTCTAGGAAGGAAAAGATCATTGCCTTTTGGACCCCACCAGCTGACAGTTGGGTAAAGTTGAACTTTGATGCAGTCAAGGAAACCCTAGCCCCTCATGCAAAGGAGTACTGAAGTTAAGGACAGCAATCTGGTTCAACTATTGGTGGCTCTACAAGGATAGTTGAGCATCTTCTAATTGAGGGAGATTCTAAGATTGTTCTGGGCTTGTTAGCAGATCCAGAATCAGTCATTTGGTGCTACAAGGATTACCTAAAAAGGCAATCTGGTAATCTGGTTAATAAATAACATGTCTGTTAGCTCACTTTGGGTGAGTAGGTCAGCGAATGCTTTGGCTGATCATCTTGCTAAACAGAGGGTGTTGAGGAAACATCTGTACTGGGCAACATTGTAATGCCTTTGGCGTAGTTTTTACACTCAAACTCAAGGTAGGTTGCACCTTGTGCCTCTCCTTGTGGTTCTTGTAACATTTCTGATATATCATTAATAAATCATTTCGTATTCATAAAAAAAAAGAAGCCTTAAAAGGTATCAATGGGGACAAAGCCCCGGGCTTGGATGATTTCAATTTCACTTGTATTAAGGCTGGTTGGAACTGGCTGGAAAGACACTTTGTCCAAATGTTGAAGGAGTTCCATAGAGAGAAGATGGAGAATGCTACCTTCATTGCTCTAATCCCAAAGAAGGATGGAGCAGCGGATTCTTTAGGCCAATAAGCATAATCAGCAGTCCTTACAAGTTATTGGCTAAAGTTTTATCTAAAAGATGGAAGACTGTATTGCATGAGGTGGTTGGGGAATCTCAGGTGGCCTTTGTGGAAGTCTAATCTTGGATGGAGTCCTAGTAGCAAGTGAATGCATTGACTGTAGACTGAGGAGTGGCATACCAGGTTTCGTGTGTAAGATTGACATTGAGAAGGCCTATGACCACGTGGAATGGGGATTCTTAGAAGAAATCCAGAGATTGGTGGGGTTTGGGGAAAAGTGGAGGGCTTGGATGCATGCATGTATGTCTACGGTCTCCTTCTCCATCCTTATAAATGGCATATCCTCAGATTTCTATCAAGCCTCCAAGGGTCTAAGACAAGGAAACCCAATATCTCCTATGCTGTTTGTCATGGTTATGGAGATTTTGAATCTGCTCTTAGAAAGAAGTGGACAAATAGGCTTGATTGAGGGTTTTAAGGTTGGAAGGGATGGGCCTTGCATCTCTCATCTGCACGGGCGATAATTTGATTTTTTTAGATGCAACAGTGGAACAGATGCCGAATTTAAGAGAAGTGTTGGAAAATTTTGAAATGTTAACAGGGCTGAAGATTAATCTCTCCAAAAGCATAATAATAGGAATTGGAGAGGTGGGGAGGGAGGTTATCTTGGAGTATGATGATGCACTTGAATGCAGAATTGGTCAGCTCCCTTTTATATATTTGGGAATGCTGATAGTAGCCTCAAACTCAGACATAATATGGAAACCAGTTTTGGAGAGGATTGAAAGGAGGTTGGATGGGTGGAAAGCTAAGTATTTATCCTTAGGAGGGAGAATAACTTTAATTAGAAGTGTATTGTCTAGTCTACCAACCTATCATCTATCTCTACTGAAAATACCAATTAGAGTGGCTGAAATAATAGAGAAGATTCACAGGGATTTCCAATGGGATGGGGAGGAGGGGGAAAGAAATTTCACTTAGTTGGGATAAGGTCTGTAAACCAAAAGAAAGGGGAGGACTGGGGCTAAGAGCGAGAACCTTTAACAGGGCCTTATTGGGGAAGTGGCTATGGAGATTTAGTTTAGGGAGAGAGGAAAATTCATTATGGAGTAGGGTAGTGGTTGGAAAATATGGGGTGGTGAGGTTTGTCTAGGAATCTAAGGAGGTGAGGGCATCATCCGGGGTGAGTGTGTGGATGGGGATTATGAGTTTTAACAGGGAATTTAGAAGTCTAACAAGTTTTGTAGTGGGGGATGGATCAAAAATCAGATTTTGGGAGGATGATTGGCGTGGGATGGGCAAGCTGAATGAGTTATGTCCAAGACTGTATAGACTGACCGAGGTTGATGTAGCTATCAGTGACTGCTATGAAAGAAGGGGGATCAATTGGTTTGGAATCCAAAATTTAGGAGGCCTGTGCTGGATGGAGAAGTGGATGAGAAGTGGAAGAATGTATATCTTTGTTAGAAAAATTAGAATGTATGAAAATTTCAGATCAGCAGAGGGATGAGCTTTGGTGGAAAGAATGTAAAAATGGAAGATTTTCGGTTAAATCATATTACATGATTCTTAGCAGCTCCAGCACAGACTTAAATCAGATTAAAGGTATTTGGGGAAACCCGGTTCCACCAAGAGTTGAGGCTTTGGAGTGGCTGGTAGCCATGGATAGTGTTTTGACAGTTGATTATCTGAAATCTAGAGGATTCCGATCCTAAGTGTGCCCTGGTTTGCACTCCTATTATCATTAAATTTACATTGGGGCAATCTGAATCCAACTTGATGTGATCAAGTTGGGTTAGAGTTAGTTGGGATGTCAGTAAGTTGGGTTCGGTATGGATTTGACTCAACAATATGGAATAGGATTACAAACCTGCATCAACCCATCCAATCAACAGTATCCCTGTTCTTAGTGAAGGCTATATTAACATTTTTTTTTCCGAGCTGGGCTTAGTATGGCCAGCTTCGACCCAAAACCAACTTGATAGGGTCAATTCAAGGTGGGTTACCACTTAACTTGATCCACTAACGTCCATAAGGACTAGTGTTGGGGTTTCAACAACTTGGGTTGGGTTATGGTTGTAACCTGGCCCACCTTGCACCTTAACCATTTCAACCAACTTCCATCAACATCAATTGGCGCTACTCTTACTCTAATGGCTCATTTTTAATTGCTTCCTTTGTATTCTTGCTATTCATATCTCAACATTCTTAGCTCAACTTAGCTTTTTTGGAGTGTGTACTAAATTACATGATTATACAGAAGAAATATGTGGACTGACTTTATCGTGGGAAGGTAGCCTCCCAAGCTTATCTATCCTGACAGCACCTCATGTTACACTAGTAGTTAGAATATTAGCTAATCACCAAATCAGTCTAAACAAGATGTTCTCTTTGGACACTGGAGCCTAAGTCCAAGGTCCTTCTACCCAAGGTTTAAAGTATCAATATTATACGCCCTGTATCAGGTGTACCATATTGTATCAGCAAGCCACTGATAATTGAAATATAAAGGGTTTGGGATTTTGGGTACCTTTTAGGGGGCAGGTCTAAGATCGACTCCTTGACCAATTTTGATAAAAAAATAAAAAACATGATTTGTAGTATCAAAACACCTGAAATGCCTGTTCGCATGTATAAGGTGTATCAATACTTTAAGCCTTGCCCCTACCTTCTATCTGGACTAGCCTATTACCATTATTTACCAAGGATGAAGAATCAATTTACTCATTCCTCAACACCCCTTAGCATTTGCAGTGGCAATATTTGGAGGGAGTAAGTGTTAGGCCGATCACCATAAAGTAAAGGGACTAGCCTACTGTAATGTTGTTGATATTTACTAGATGGAAGCCTTGATACACCAACGTCCAGAAATTCATAGAAAAGGGCGAGTTTTTGGAAGCAGTCTCTAAGAATGAATAGAGGACCCTAATCAGGTTGGCAAACTAGATTGTGATGTGTGGGGGACGATTGTACAAGTGATCATATGATGGAGTGCAATTGTTATTTGTAGATGAAGACCAAGCAGCTTGGTTGATTGAGGAAGTCCATGTAGGGATTTGTGGGCCTCCCATGTTGACAAAAAAAATCCTGAGGTCAGGATACTATTGGACAAGCATAGGTGGATAATCTCCCTGACAGATTGTGCATTAACCTTTTGTCCCTCTATATATGTATTTATTGGGTCTTGATAGAGCAGAACGACAGGGCATTTGTCATTTGTGTAGTTAACACCAAATAGCTGGGATAAAGGTTGAGTTCTCATCATATCATCTATGCCTTGTCCCAACTCTAAGGAATTGGCCAAAAGTTGAGTTTTCTATGTTTTTTGTATATCCGTATATGCATATACATGGACTTCTACAGACAAAGACATCCTACAAACATACTACCTTTATTGAAATGCTTCTCATCTGTACTGATAATTTTCTTTGCTTATTTTCTTGGATGTCAAGGGATTTTATTAAAAAGCACTATTTCCTTATTTTTTATTGACAAGGGGTGCAACTTTCTGGCAATACATTTCTCTTCACTTAACATTTTGTTGATACTAGAAACGACCTGCGTGAATTGGTGTCAAATGTCTCATATTCTGTAGTAATATTTATTTTTGTGTGTGAGAGAGTGGGATCCTCTGGTTTTGAAGAGATTTATGCACTGACAAATGACCATAGGCATTAATTGTTTTGCAATAGCTTCTCTTATACATAATGATAGATGTTGCCTTTAGTCATATTTTGTACAATTCTGTGGAAAAAAGTTGAGGGGTTTTGCAGCATAAAAGACAGAAGAGAGAAACTGCTGACATGGGAAACTCCATTAATTAATTGGCTTTTGGACTATGACAACATTTACATATTTCTCATGTTGCTATTTCTTTTTTCTATTTAAAATCTTTTTTTTTTCCCTCTTTGGAGCTTGGTTTTAAAGTTGATGGCTATCTATTAGTAACCTATGGAGGACTACTTCTGAAGAAAAGCGGGAATTGGAGCGCCTTGAAAAACCCATCTATAATGCAGTTCGCCAAGCAGCAGAAGTTCATCGACAGGTTGTAGTTTAATTTTAGATAAACAATTTTAATGCTCTAGAACATAGGATACAAAAGCATCAATCAAATCTTACAGAAAAATTTTGCATCCAGTATTTTGCAAGCACATAAAGTTATTGCTTGGTTACTTGTCACTAGGTTCGAAAATACATCAGAAGTATTCTTAAACCTGGGATGTTGATGGCTGATCTCTGTGAAACCTTGGAGAATACTGTTCGTAAGTTAATTTCAGAAAATGGTCTACAAGCGGGCATTGCATTCCCTACAGGATGCTCACTAAATTGGTATTCTTGTAGTCATTATTGATTTCTATCCTGACTTTTTAATTGTACTTTTTTATACTAAATGTCCTTTTTACCAGGGTTGCTGCACATTGGACACCCAATTCTGGGGATAAGACTGTGCTTCAGTATGATGATGTTATGAAGTTGGATTTTGGAACTCATATTGATGGTAATTCTCTTCAGTTTTCTCCATTGTTTGATTCTCCAATATACTGACTGATGGCATGTCTTTGATGTCTATTTTTGTGAATTGGTTTGATTTACAGGACATATAGTTGATTGTGCTTTTACAGTAGCATTCAACCCCATGTTTGATCCTCTGCTTGAGGCTTCAAGGGAGGCAACCAATACTGGAATTAAGGTAGTGTGCATTCTACCATACAAGCTGCTTTTTTTTTTCTTGCCTAGCTGATTAGTTTGGATTCGCAACCTGCTCTTTTTTGCAGTCCACATTGGCCCCTAATCAGGCCAAGTACAGAGTTTCCTTAGATGGCCAACTCTTTCTTAGCTACAAAGAGGAATCCTGTGGGCCATTCAAACCATTCATTAGATATATAAGAGAGTTTATCTAGAACATATGGCAAGGTATTTTAAGCCAATTTTTTTTACATAATCTAAAATGTGTTTAGGAATTCAGGGACTGGGCTTTAATCTCAAGCTAACTAGCCAAATGGAAGTTTCCCTGGTTGTTTAGACTCCACCAAAAAACCTGACTAGCAATACCTCCACTTCAATGTATGTATTAGAAAAACGAAGTACATGGGAGCCATTGACTCCAAGCCAAGAGAATGGAATCATCAATCATCTAAAAACAAAAGCCCTCCTCTCTTCCACCAATAGATCAAAGAGAAACCACTCAAGGCTGGGATGAACAGATATGTACAAAGCTGTTGACATACATGAGGGCAAAAAAGTTCCCTCAAGACTGCAATTTTTTTTTTCTTTTTGATGGAAAAGAGAAAAGAAATTTTATTAAAAGAAAAAACTGGTTGCAATCCGATTCAGCTGAGACGTAACTCATCCAAGAGAACAAACCCCATAAAAGAGTTGTGCATTATAAAAGACATTAGTTTTACAACATTGTTGAAGAAATTTCAGCATCCACTTCAAGGGATGACCGTAAGCCCAAATTCCTTAGGAATGTCCTTAAATTCTGGATACACCAGCAGCCATTCAATTCTTCTTTTGTCTCTGATTGTCTCTACAAATAATCTCCTATTTCTCTCTGCAACTTAAACATATGGCAGAAGAGATTGGACTCAAAAACTTTTGCTTTCCTGTTACTGTTGATAGAAGGCTACTTTGAGGATCTCTTTTTGTTTAATCAGATAATGTCTAGATCTCGAGCAGAATAGCTTCTTCTTGGGATCCACACATGCAGCTACAGTTTTACCAGTAAAACCTAGGGGTGAGAAAAAAAAAACCGAAAAACCGAACCGATCGGTTCGGTGTTTTTAAAAAACCTAAGGTACCGGTCTGGTTTCGGTTAACCAATATAGAAAATCGGCGGTGAACCGAATCGACCGGTTTACATATATTTCTATATATTTTATATATATTTATGTATATTATATATATTATATATATTATAAAGTAATAAATATGCATTATATATAAATATATTTATAATATATGATATATTATTTATTATGTAAAATATAATATTTTATTACATATTTATATATATTATATTGTAAAAATTAAAAAACCAAAAAACCGACGAACCGAACCGACAGTTAACCGAACCAGTCAACCAGTTAACTGATTAGCTTTGGTTCGGTTTTGGCTACCGGTTTTCCAAAAACCGGTAGTACTGGTTCAGTTACAAAAAAAAGGCTCACGGTTCTGTTAACCGAACCATGAGCACCCCTAGTAAAACCCTCTATTCTTCTTGTGGTTCGGTTAACCGAACCGTGAACACCCTTAGTAAAACCGTGAGCACCCCTAGAAAGCAATCAAGGGAAAGAAGAATGCTTCAGCCTACATTCCTTAGGAACCTGTTTGCCTTCACAGTTACTTTGCTGTGTTATCTCTACATGAATATATTAATGGTTACAATAGCCATTCTCCATAACATCTTCTGTTTTGATTTAAAGCCATGAAATCTCAAGAAAAAGTGTTATTGATGTAGTGATTTTAGATGTACCATCTTTCCCTGCTTTGGAGGTTAGCTGGAAATGTATTTTGCTAAATAATCTGTGAACTATTTTTAAATATTGCCTTTGGTTATAGCATTAGATTTTGTCACTTCCTTTCTTTTCTTATTCCTGAACTCCATAGGCTTTCCAATGAAAGAAGGAAATCATATGACTTTAGTTCATATGAACCAACAACTTTTCTTAGCACAGTTGAACAGGGCACTACCACATTAGAAATATTGAAATGCATTAACTTTTTATTATGTTTTGCCCTACATGGCACTACACTCTTGAATCTTCATCGGAGTCATGTTTGTTTTCATTTCAAAGTTTTGGTGGGTCATAACTCTTTGCCTGTTTGGCTAAGCCAATTTGTGAACTATGTACTGTGCAAAGGATGAAGGCTTTCCTTTTCTTGGCAGTGCTGAAAATGATTGTTACTGTGTTAAGTTTCAAATTAGAAGGAACCCCAAGGTGTTATCCCCGCCATTAGTCCCCCCAAAAGAAAAGTTTCCATGGGGAGTGGAATTGATGAATTAACTTTTTTATTGACTGTGAAATAGCTCAGAAAATGTGGATATATTCTTTTTTAGTCAATAATGAAGATTTTATTAATGATCAAAACTAAGGGATTACAAAAAAAGTACACTCCAAAACAGCATAGGTACTAATAAAGGAAATACCAACCCAAATGCAGAAGGCTCAAACTCCAACCAAAAGAAATTAAAAATAATTGAACTTTGTGCTACACTGGAAGTGATTAAATCCAGTATAGTGATTGTCTAGCGGTGGCCTCTCTCAAGTAAGCAAGCCTGCCACAGAACTAGCGGATCTCATGGTCTAGAAAAAATGAATGTTCATCCTAGCCAGCAACGAACTTGTCTTTCTTATGCAATGGTTCAAACTCCAAGGACCAGAAGAAATGTCATTTTAGAGGGAGCAAGGTGATTCAAAAGTTGCTCACAAGGGAAATCACCCCTAACCACTGACCAGAGAATAATGCAGCTTCCTAAAAAGCCTCCAAGAAAAAACTCCAAAAGGATCCCAAGCTTCACCTTAGTATTTCTAGAGTTGGGATCTAGAGGATTAATGGATATTTTTTGCAGAAAATGGGTTGAATAAAGACTTGCTATTCATGCCTATTCATCTGATATTAAAATGTTTGCTTGCCTGCTTAGGAATCTGGAATAGATGTACGCCTTTGTGATGTTGGTGCTGCAATCCAAGAGGTCATGGAATCATATGAGGTTGAGATCAATGGAAAGGTTTTTCAGGGTATGGTACCACTAGTTAAACCTAATTTTGTCTTAAACGCTGTATTATTCTATAGTCTCAAATGCCATTCTCACTTTTGTCATCCTTTTGAAGGAGATACTGTAATTCATAACCATGTGGCTAGTTCTGTGCTTCTTGATAATATAGATAACGGAGATGGTAACTTTTGAAGAGACCTGCAAGGCTTTTTTTGGGTGCATCCCAGTTACACCATTGGACATGGTGCATTTCAATGTGCTTGTTTGTTCCATGGTTTGTAGTTCATGCCACCAACAAATACTTCGAGTTTTGCAACCAATCAAAGTTGACTTTTTATCCATCGTTCTCTTTGATGGGGCCTGGGAGTGATACTACTCAGCCACAGATTCATTAAACTGGCCCAGAATCTTCAATTAGAATCTTTCCAGCTTGAATCACTCTTTTGGTGGTTCTACCTTTTATGCATTTCATGAGTATACTATTTTACCATCTCTATCATTTTCTACAAACATGTTTAATGTGTAATTCTCGTCAACTTTCCTTGTCAGTCAAAAGCATACGGAACTTGAATGGACATAGCATTGGCCCCTATCAGATCCATGCAGGAAAATCCGTCCCTATTGTAAAAGGAGGAGAGCAGACAAAGATGGAAGAGGGTGAATTTTTTGCAATTGAAACTTTTGGATCAACCGGTAAGAATATGATGATGTAGCTGGTATCAGAATTTAAAATACAATATGAAAGGGACAATGATGCGAGTCTAGATCTGCTATGCACAAATGTTGTGTGCATGCTATGAACAGGACACTACAGCCTCACATCAGGGACACCTCCCATACTTGTCATTCAAGGGGTGATGTTCCCAATGTACAGCTGTAGCGTCCTGCTTATAGTGTGTGCACAGCAATTTGTTTGCAGAAGATCAACATTCCAGTGATGCTAGCTCAACTGATAAAATGGTTTAAATGGATGTTAGTACTTTTAAGATATTTTAGTGATACAACATTTTCTTGATCAAGTATACAATATAATTGATTTGAAAAAAAAATTATAAAAGTATTTTGCTTGAGAATGCTAAGATGATAATAGTTACACTGGGACTAGTGGCCATTACTTAATCTTATTTCAATATACTACCCAGTTGGTTTGGGAGGGAGTGACAGCAATCACTACGATGACTTCCCTAATGTTATGTTTATTTTTTCCATTTTGATGTGTAGGGAAAGGATATGTTCGAGAAGATTTGGAGTGCAGCCATTACATGAAAAATTTTGATGTTGGACACATTCCACTCAGGTTGCCCAAAGCCAAACAACTGCTTGCAACAATCAACAAGAACTTCTCTACATTAGCCTTTTGCAGGCGTTATTTAGACCGCCTTGGGGAGACTAAATATCTAATGGCACTAAAGAACCTGTGTGATACTGGCATTGTTCAGGTATGTTTCACTAAATAGCAAGGAATTCTCATGTTTATATTTTTCATAATTAAAGCTGGCATGCATACCATTGCTTGGTGCAATGGTAAATCTCAGGATGACAAGCATGAGAATGCATGTTCAAGTTTAGAGCACCTGCTATGTTACAAAAAATGGCAAAACTTAAGGTCCATACCCTGTCCCCCCCCCCCCCCCCCCCCCCCCCCCCCTACACACACACACACATGTTAAGGAGGACCACCATTGTGTAATGGCCCTTTTTAAAGTTGGTGTGCATAGAAAAAAGGAAAGTTCTGCTTGACAAATTGTTTATTATTCCTGCTCCATGTTAGGTTAGAAATTAGAATCTATCTTTTATTTTGACAATATAAGGAAAGAGTAGATATTAATGAAGGAATTAGGTGATAGAATACCTTTCTATTGAATGAAAAGTACCTTTTTTCGAAGAGGGAGAGAGAGAGAGAGAGAATTAAGTGATAGAATCATTTGCAGTTAGATCTACTCTTTCATTGGAATTGTTACAACCTAATAGCAATTAAATAAAGCTTTATTTTAGTAGTATGTATAGCAATCCCTACCCCATTTTCAATTTATTCATTCTGCGTACATAGGCCCCAAAATAGTTAATCTCCTTAATAATCTGCCTATAGCACCAATATCCTTGTTGGTTTTTCAACCAATCCACTACCACCTTAGTATCTCCTTCCACCGCCAAGTTTTATAGTTCAATGAGCCTCTTTTAGGCCTTGCATTGCTATCAAGAGTTCTGCCCTGATTGAATTTCCCATGCTTCCCATACCTATTGCCCAGAGTATGTAGCTAATATGTTCCCATTTTCATTTCTGAGTATTCCCCCAACACCTAATGACCCAAGGTTTCGCAAACTGAATCCATCAAAAATTAGTTTAATGCAATTGAGTTTTGGTGGTTTCAAAGGCAATGGAAGTTTTGTTTTAAAAGAAGACGAGGATGCCACCAGCTGCCATCCTCTAGTGATATCATCAACTGAAAAATGGCCAAAAATCTCCAAGGTTTTGTCCCAATACCTCACTTTCACTGTAATAGACACCTATCGTATCTTCCTTTAAGCTTGCTTTCCCTCTGAAGATTATTTCATTCCTCTCTTCCTATACAGTTCATTATACTTAAGCTCTAGTGCATCTCCACAGAGCCTTGTAATGATTACTGGAAAATGTGTTTAGATGGAATTAGGTAGTAGATGATCGCCTAACACTAATGGTTCTTCTACCTCTTTTGTACAGATATTGTTCTTTTTCCTAATTAACAAAATTTCATGGTGATTAAAAAATATGGGATAGAATCCCATATATACAAATAAAAAGTTTTTTTCTCCATGAATTCCACAATAGGACTTGAGTTGATCAAGTTGGATATTCTTCTCCATGGGTCTTGACACAAAGGGGCTTTTTAACTTAAAGGGATCCCTTGGAGAATGAGAGAAAAAATCTTTTTTTCGACACATTTTTCTCTTTTTTGGGCTGTAAAAGAACCATGCTTGCTAAGTAGTTTTCTCCAACTACGATTCTTGAGCACATCAAGTCAGAGTTATGCCTTCTTAGTGTCACGCCCTGCCTAAGCTGTGGAACTGAGGGGCATCTAGCTAGAGGTTTAATGGCGAGTTCAGCAGCATTCTAGCCAAGACCAGATGCTTCTGAGGCTTTCATAGAGTCCTCTACAAGGTCCTGGAACACTCTAGTAATGTAGAGTAGTTCTTGTTTAGAGTTGTCTAGAGTGTCCTAGAAACTCTTTGTAAATATCTTGTATTGTTCTAGGCTTGAAATATTCCTAGAAGATTCTTAGAAGCTTCTACCAAAGGAAGGCGAAATGTGTGGTCCATGTGAGCTGAGGTGGAAAATATTTGGAGATAAGGATGTGTTATCCAATGGTTGTAGTAAGGAGGTGATAAATGAAGGGCTATGATTGCACATCAAAGGACGTGCAGTTTCTTATAAATGGGAGCCCCTCCACATTTGCAAAGGGCATCCCAATAGTCTTCCAAGCCTTGTACCATGTGAGATCTTTGTACAGTGCATTCCTTAACCCTCTACGTGAAAGTTCATGAAGTGTCAAGCAAGCAAACTGTAAGCTGGTTAATTCTTTTCTTCCCCTCTTGTAGGCATAATCAATTATCAACAGATGTAGTTTCCATTGGTTAGCTGCTCTCAAATGGGAAATGTGGGTGAAAAAAGGGTTGAATGTGGTGAGCATTCTATGAGTGCTCTCTCTCTCAAGGGTTAAATGAAGGTGGCTTGTCAGAAGTCTTCCGCAGCAATTCAATTCCAGAATAAAGGTGGATATTAATGTGGTGGTTAACAAAGAAGTGGTAGTGAGAAGTTTGGATTGTTCTTTTTGGGGGGTAAGGACACACACCAAAAGAAATTTTACAATGAAGGAAAAGAGAGATAGAAGGAATAGGGATTATTGGTGAGTGGAGCATCTGGATCTAAAAGAGGTATTTGGAATAGTATATACTAGGGGGGATGTGCTCAGTTTTGGCTTTAGATTCTTGGAGAGGGTTGGTATCAGGGCTGGAATCGCTTGAAGTTTTTGGTTGTGCGAGAATTGTGCACTTCATGGCAGGCCTACTGTGTGGAGACAGGAGAGTAAGTGTGGGCTTCGATCTTTATTGTATTAGTGACACCATGTCATCAGTTCTATCCTTTTTGTTTCTCTTAATAAAAATTTCATTTACTATCAAAATAATTAGTCCTAATGTTTTGCAGTTTGGTTGATAATATTAGGGAAGAGTTGCGCAAAATATTAAAAAAACATATGATCATAAACGGGCATTAGGATAATTATCTGTTGATTGAGTTGTGCTGATTTTTTGCTTGTCAAATTTTTTGATTACCATATGAAGTCATGCTATGCTAGTATGTTTTTGTCCACCATTAACCATAAATGTTCCTTTTTTGTCTTTTCTTCTAATCTACTGTAAGTGACTTTTAGCTGAACCAAATTAGCTAGCCAAATTGATTGTTGTTTCTCAGTTCAGCTTCTTGTTGGTGATTATATAATCAAACTCATGAAATTTGCTTCGTTTTTATGCCTGGCAGCCTTACCCTCCTCTTTGCGACATTAAAGGTAGCTATGTGGCACAATTTGAGCACACTATTCTTCTCCGGCCAACCTGCAAAGAAGTTATATCCAGAGGCGATGACTACTAATTGAGGAATAAGTGTTCATATTTATCTTGTTTTTTTCTATTTCTCCAGTTACTGTACCAGTTTCTTGCACACAAACAGTTTCGATCTGAATAGCAATCCATAGAAATATACTTTCTTGGTCATATGATAATTTCCATTTGGCTAGGTGCATTATTTACCATGATCAGGAGCCATCTGCCGGGGACCTGGGTTCTCATAAAGTTTACTCTTTGGGCTTTTAAGAATCATGGGCGAATGCAAAATGAAAATATAAAGACATTTGAGCCCTGCAAATCAATATTAGAAGGAAAGCACTATATTGACTTTCTTCTTGAAGCTGAACGAGGCCAATGTTACAAAAATGGATAAAGTGTAGGTGTATTTTAAGTAATTTTTCAAATTTCATAAGAGACAACAGACAAGCAATTCATTCAACGTGATATTTATGAAGATTGATCATTGATGAATGCTATAAACATCTGGGCCTGTGGCTTGATGTAGAATTGTTGCCTACGTCCGACATTTTGGTGGCCTTCCCTGAATAAATGTTTTAAAAATTGCCCCCGGAAGGCCGGAAATGGAACCTTTTGCCTATACTTTTATATAAAAGGGTCATTTACTAAACCCCTTGTTTCACAATTTACTTAAAACTTATCCTGTAGTGTATGTTTTATTGAATCACCCTTTTATAGTTGTAATCAATTTACTTGACGGACCTGTTAAGAATCCTTTGTATTTTTGTTAAAAGTGTTAATGTTATCATATAAACGAAGTGGAAAATGTTTAGGGATGAGGCGCAGCAGGTTCAAAATATCGATATGCCCAATACGCTAGTAGAGGTGTATCGGGCAGTATGTTATTTTTTTTTTGTTTTTTTTTTTTGCAATTTCGGTTCAGAGGGACTAGTTTAAGGTCTGTCCACCCCCTGAATCGGTTGAAATCCCGAAACACCTCCTGGAGGGGTGTACCAGGAAGCCCCCAAAACGGCCTGATATGTATTGAAATTTTGAACTTTTTCTGAGCCCATGATTTTTTATTAAGTATTCCTAAAACTTCTTCTCAAGCTTCTAAAGAAATAAGGTTGGTTTTCAGATCTATCTAAAAGGAGAGAGAACAATGGTATCCAGGTTTTTCGTCAGTAATGGTTTGTCGTCTTCAAACATAAATATAACAAATTTAAATTTTATTAAATAGAGTTGCAGCTATGGTTTCTATTTTTGTTTTTTGTAGATTAAATTTGTTTGAGGGGATGTTAGGTCAAATTTGTCATTTTTCACTATCCAATGGTAGGTTTTAGTGAATCCATGGGATGTTTTAGTAAATGATCCTATATAGAATTTTATTTTTGTTTTTCAAAAAACAAGTTAAATGTCTTATCTGCCCACGTTTATCGCAGCCGCATAGAGAACAATTCATCATCTGTATAGTATTTTGCAGGGGGAGATGTTCCTAATTCACGAGGGTAGTGTGTTATTGGTAGAGGTGGGCAGAGTTTTCATGAGCAAGAGATCCGGAGTCTAGTTAAACTGCTAGGCTTGAATTCATCAATAATTTAACCACCCAGGTCAGCAGTTCTCTGACTTTTTTAATGTTTTAATTTTTCAAAATAATTAGTCAGGGTAAAAATGGAACCGGTGGTGGAACAGATTTCTATTTTCTAAGCCAAGTGATCCAACCGTTCAGGGCAACAGCCCTGAATTGGGCTCTCACAGAACGCTTCACACACCAACCTCACATCCACGTCACATCGTGTAATGGGAACATCTCCATGAATAATAACATACAAAGTACAAGAGATGTAGAGATGTTTGTGGCCGTTACATGTGAGGTCAGTGTGAGGAGCGCCCTGTGAGGAGCAGCAGATCTGGACTCAACGGCCCACTAGTGAATACGAAACAACAGTAAGACAACTTGTTACAGATATCATAGCATTCATCTCATCAGGGATAGATTTAGTATTCCATGGAGGATTCTCTACCCCTTTGAAGCACTATTCACCATGGTTTTCAAAACCAGATCAGACCAGATGGTCAGATCGGAAAAATCGGGAACCAATCAGGTGGCCAGTTTTTTTTTTCAAAACTGGATCTTTTCCAAAAAAAAACGTTGATTTGGTCAGCAAACCACTAACCCATGCGTTTGAACCGTTCAACGGTTTTGACCCTTTTTTTAATTTTTTTGTCAAAACAGGCCGACCATTCGGTTACCCCTGACCGGTTCGTTGTCTGGGTCGGGTTCGGAGCAGAACACCTTATCGGGGATAGGGAATCCCTGAATATTTCCTACCTTGAGTCAATTCCTAAAAATACATCATATTTGGGGTATTTTAGAAATTAGATTATAGGAATTTATGGGTATTTTAAACATTAGATTATGGGATCCTAAAGGTTTTAGGAATTTAGGGGTAATTCAAAGATATTTTGGGAATTAATATTAAAATTAGGCATATTTTAATAATTTACCACCGGGTTTGGGGAATCATATGCAAAACTCGTCCCCGCCCCATCCTCGGTTTAAGGCAAAAGTATTTTCCTCATCCCATTGAAGATCAAGGAAAACCCGATTTTACGGGAAATATTGCCATCCCTATTGCTTTATTGTTGAACCTTGCAACACTTTTGTGAGCATCAAAGGTCGCCCAAGCTTCAGGTGAATTAATTGAACCACTATTTTAAAAATCGGACCAGATTGGACCGTCAAACCATTTGACCTAGGAACTGATCATGTATCTAGTTTTGGTTTTTAGATTGGACCATTGTTTTGGAAAAAAAAAACTGTTGAATTGGTCAAAGGACCACTAACCCAATGGTCGAACTGCAGTTAATGGTTCGATAAAAAAGTATTTAATTTTTGTTAAGATTATTAACAAAGAAGAAAAAATAGATTGAGAGATGGGGAAGGGACAGAGACACAATCCCAGATATGAGGTGACCGAGAAAGAGAGAGAGATCAAATCTGATATGTGAGATCAGAGAAAGAGAGAAACAAGACCTCAAATCTCAGATTAAAGAAAGAAGTTGCCATCACAAGTTAACGTAGCCTCTTTCTTCTTCGCTAAGGTTACGTTTAGTTCGAAGGAAAAAGTATGGAAAGGAAGGAAAATGTAAGAAAATCTTTACAAACCTTATATGGGTTTCCCTGTCTTTCCCTTCCTTTCCCAATCTTTTCCTTGGACTGATGGGAGAACTTAAGTTATTATTCTGATTCTTGCTTTAAAGCGTATAATTGATGAGAATGGCCTGTTCACTCCCTCTAATCCAAACTTAACCAGAAGTTTGTCAGGAGGCAAGCGGCAAGGCTTGGCTCCGTCAAATTCGTGGGTGTGGAAACAATACCGCATTTAAGTTAAAAATGGAAAAACTTAAGAACATATTGATGTGTGTGCCAACTTCAAGAATAATTAGTTAATCTGTTACTAGTAAATAAAATAATTTATACTAAAAAATCTCTTAAACCCAAAAAATATCTTTTCACTTTCCTCTAACTAAAGGTGATAATTCTAATGTACTACTGTTTCAATGTACCACATGTAAGAATAGCATCACCTTTCGTGCACCCGTGACACATAATTAGTGGGACCCACCAGTTTACAAACTAAAAAGATGATTAGTTTTAAATCAAAAAATAAAATAAAAATTTAACACATTTGTCAATCTCTTATGATTTTTTTTCATCTACTCTTGAGCCATTTAGTTGCAATAAATTTGTGTATGATGAAAATATTCATTTGAAAATTTTGATACCCTATTTATTTTGAGAAACAGACCAGAATAATATAAATTGAGCAAAAAGACTATTTTATTTAGGTAAAGTAGTTAAAAACATAAAATATAATATAATATAAAAAAAAACAGGATTCATATTGAAATGAAAAGAAATTGTACTTCAAAAATGTTTTCAAAACCGGATCGGACTGGATGGTTGGACCAGAAAAAACCAGGAACCAGTCACCTGAGTGGTTTCGTTTTACCCCAAAACTGCTATTTGGCCAAAAACTATTGATTTGGTCAACAAACCACTGACCTAAGCGGTTGAACCGTCAAACCGTTTGACCTAAGAACGGTTTTTGGCCACTTTTGGTTTTTAAAAATTTTTAAACTTTTTTGTTTTTTTGTTAGAGCGGATCATCCATTCAAACCAATTGATCGGACCGTTTAACCTGGGAACCAAACTCAAAACAATTCCCTGTCTAATCCGGTTTTAAAAACCTTGCTTTAAATATAAATGATGTATTAATGCATACATTGACCATTTTTTTCAAATCTTAACTTATTTTGTTTGATTGAGTACGAATGAAGTACATTAAGACAGGAAGAAGAATAAAGTAAAATCTGAAATAAAATTAAATAAGAATTTGCAATTTTTACACTTGCACTCCTATGCATTTGCATTAGTACAAATAAAATTGTACTGCACACAACCTTAGGTAATTAATTGTGGAAGGAGAATCACCCTCAATTGGTATAAGCGTAGCGTTAATTCTTTTGCAGATACATTAGTGATTAGCCAAGCAAGGATGGGACAAGAAACTCTTTTCTGGACACAATTGTAAGAGAGGGGTTTTGCTTTAGGGAGGGACCGGAGGGTTAAGGGGTTTTACTCTTCGTACTATACTATCTTCTTAAAATTAATGAATGCATGCAGCTATAGATGAAAAAAATAATTAGCACACACAGAAGAAATATATAATAGGGAGAATGACGGTTCAGCCCAGGGTCAGAATTTTTATGCTTGGGGTGGGTGCCAATTCGGAATTGATGCTAAATTGCCAATTTACAGGCCGATGTATAGAGTGGACGGTTTTTGACATTTTGAATGTTTATAGCTCTGCACTTCTGCAGTGGAAATCAAAAATCTGCATTGAACCTGTCCGTACTCCTCCGTATATAATATAAATAACATAGTACAGTTATCATGGGATGAGAACAGGAAACACCTTTTCCAGTAGAAACTCTGTAGAGAAGTACGGACAGGCTCATTGCAAAATTTTGATTTTCACTGCAAATCTAGAACATTTCAAATGGTCAATTACCCCCACTCTATGCATCAATGCCTGCACGTGAATTAACATCAATTCCGAACTGGCACCTACCCCAACTGTACTTTGGGCCTATAAATTCTGACCCTGGACTGAACCGTCATTCTCCCAAAATTCTGAAGCTTTTATCCTTTATACCAATTGAGGCACCTACTCAGTTTGACCCGAGTACATATCCCCATGTTTGTGATGGAGAAGCAACTAAAACAAGCAGTCAACCATTCTTTCATTATGAAAAAATAAAACAAAGGTAATAAAAGAGGAATCCAACATTTACCCCAGAGATAACTTGCTCTATTGATCAAAATAAAGTATGAATTAAAAATGATAGCGTGCACTTACAAAATTCTAAAAACTAATAAATAATAAAAGAAAAAAATATATAAGAATGTGGAAATGAAGAATGGTATTATAGAAATAGATGGGTGATCTTAAAAATCCTTGAAAACAGCAAATAAGTCTCCATGGACATAATCATTATCCACCAAGCTGACCAAGAAGTAACTGCGTTGCACCTGAAAAGAGACCAGGCCATGTGAGTCCATATCCACCAATTCTGACTCTTTGTAAAGCATAAAGAATAATTGGTGCACCTATTGAAAAAAATTAATAAATTGGAAGTTAAAAGAAACAGTACGTTTTCTAGCAATGTCCTTGATGGGTCATTCTCAGGGAACAAGCATGCCCATCCCCTATTCCAGATCTCAAAGGCCTCATCCTTCCAGACCATGAAGCTTTCCAGATCCACAACAGTTGGTTGGACAATCTGCTTTGCTGGGAAAACTCCCCATGTTACTGCATTCACATAATCTTGGCCAATATTGGACATCCATTGTGCTTCTTTGTTGACAGCCATGTAGGTTATAGATGGGAAATTCTTGCATTTCTCAATTATTGCTTCTAACTTGTTCCGAGGACAAAAGAACTCTACATAGGCCTTCTGATAAACGTATCCACCAGGTCCACCCCATCCTGTCAACATAACTCATAAAAGAAACTCAGGAAAAACTCCCTGGCAGTTTGCACAACAGAACATAATCCATCAAAAGAAAGAACCAATCAGATATTCAGTAATCATTTTTCAGAAAATAATTTGAATACTAAAGTTCTTTCAATGACCACTACAAAATTTTATTAATTCTAGTTTCACAGAACTTTCTTATTGGTTTTCTTTCTACAGAAAACTATTGAAGTGCTTTTTTTTCTGGAAACTGTAAAATGTTTTCTTTTCAAAGACATGGTAACATTTCTCAATAAAACAAGTTAACAAGTACATTTCTCAATAAGACAAGTTAACAAGTGACACAGACAACATTATAACATTTTCTCACAACATATACAAGACAGTAAATTGCATTTTGAAGAACTTGTGTATTACTAAACTGCATTTAGTAATGCACTTCTATTGATTTGTTTCTAGGGTGTGCATAGAGATGATTGCTACTACATTGTGGAATCCATTTAACTTAGAAATGAATATACATTGGTAGCTATGTATAAAGAACAATTTCCCTCTACTTTCTGTGCCAGTGCTACAATTCTTCTTTTCTGTACTGTCCCTGGAAATGTGAACCAGATGCCCTGCCTATCTTATAGTCATGCATGTACTTAGGCATGTATGCATCAACATATGCATGTTTCTAAGTTATTCTCCCTTTATCTATCCATGTTAGAATTTGAGCTTCATGTCCTTGTGCATAGAAGACCACAGATATATGTAGTGACAGAAGGATTTGATCCCAGGTCTCTGCTACGACCAACCAGAGACCTTACCAACTGCGCCAGTTGGCAGGCACTGTTAAATTGATATGTGGAGTGCTTCACATAAATAGCATCCAACTTAGACCACAGGCATGACTCAAATCCAGAATAATATGACACAGATGAAAAATTAATCTGCAATATATGAGTAAAGTCTTAAAACACACATAAGAACACATAATTTCAGGAAAAAGAACATCTTTCACAAATAATATTCACTTACCAACAACTGGAGAGTCAGACTTCTCGCCATTTACTGCTGGTTGGCTATTAATGGTAAGGAATCCCTTCGAGTTGATATTTCCCAACTGTTCATTTATGACTTTTGTCTCTGGCTGAGTCCCATCTAGGTCGGACCATGGACTGCTTCGTAGTTTCCCCAGGCAGAATTTCATGAACCTCTAATGTCACAATGCAAATAAAATCTTCATGTTAGGTGAAGTTATACATATAAATAAGTGAAGTTTAAAGAGAAAAACCAAGAAGTTGGAACATGAGAACTGCACCTCATTAATATCTTCAATGGATTTCAATGGGACAACCCATTCCTCTTGGAGTTTCTTATCACGTGAGCGTGGTCGCATAAACTGTCACAGAAGTTTTAAAAAAAAATGAGTTATATACTGATAAGATAAACAAATCACCAGGTTAGCATTTCCATCCAATGGTCCATGTCTAATTAAAGAATAGGAAATCTATTAACTGGAACTTCAGTGAAGCATGATAATAGATAGAAAGGAGAAAATATGGCAAATCTCATCTACCTGGTAGTCAGTCAGTGCTCCATATGATGCATTATGAGAATCACCCCATCGCCCACTTGGGTACTGTTCCCAACCAATAGTCCTAGATATATAGCTTTTTGGACGATTAGCCCTGTCATCATCCCCAAGAGAACATCAGGTACACTTTTTAGGCAAGAACAACAGGTATTCTTTATAGTTTAATTACTCAAACACTTTGGATTCAAACCAGTTATATATATTTCACTGGGGTTTCAGATTTTTGAGTATTGCAAATACCAGAAAATTGGGCGAACATCTTCTTTAATACGATATATATTTGTAGGGCGTCTCCAAGGCAAGGATCTTGAAATCCTGTTATCATCAATCAACCCTAGGTTCTGCCAATAAAATTCATAGTAAGGTCCATAGATAAATATGACATGAAAACTTTAACATGTGCCCAGGCTATAATCAGATATAGGGGATAACCCTTAATATGGCTAATGCTGATTTCTCCATGTTCAGTGTGTAAAGGTGCAATGTATTAATCCCATTAGCTATAATCTTCTTGCACATTTCAGTTCCAAGGTGGACTCCATAGGACCTAACAGCCTCATCATTGTCCTTGATAGGTTCCAAGGCAGCAGTAATTTCGGAAGGTATCTGCAAAGTCAAATTAAAAATAAATAATGCATCTTAAAATGAAAACATCACCTGAAAGAACCACTAATTGAAAATAACATCTACTGCACGAAATATACTGTTCTTTGGTTAACAGTGAAGCATTGTACTGATGTGTAAAAAAGATGATGTGAATACAAGGCCCACCAAAAAGAAATATGAAGTTCTGCAATGACCTCAAACAGACCCAACAGACATACAAAAAATATACCCCTCAAGTTGGTAGGTTATGACATATCTCTGGCTCATAGCCATGATTTAAAACTTCCACATATCTTTATATAAGTTGGTCAGAAGTGTAGTAAATTTGGTTTACCACATGAAAATTATATAAAATGTATCACCACAATCATCCTAAGAAATTTTGAGGTAATCATCCTAAGCAAATTATGAAACTTATATATATCATAAGCGCTTAAGAGGTATCAACATCATCTGTTTATCTCAAATCCGAACTGCAATATGCAAATCCATTTGCCTCCATTGTGCCTTATCTAGGACCATATCATAGAACAACTGCTACATGATGTAGAACTACTGGCACATGATGTGATGCGCCTATTAGAATTTAGAACATTGGAGATTAATTACGTTTAACATTAAGGACAAGTTTGAAACATAAATGTGACTCCAACTGCATCATGTAACCTGAAATATCCATTTATATGTGTTATCCTACCAGCCAGAGTCTGATAAACCTTAAAATGTACTCTATAATATAAATAATGTCAGATAATACTACAACCATTATCAACTTGTATAGTGTAAGTCTAACTCTAAGATATGTCACTATGTATGTGCATGTACTGTTTGATAAATCATGATTTCTGATGTCTTTTCCCTTTCCGTTGATCACCAAATCTTTTCCTTGTGGTGCCCCCATAATGGTTCCCAAGTTTGTGAAGTTTTGGAAAGTTTGCCCAATGGTCCTTAAGTTTCCATATACTCTCATTTCTTGGGGACCAAACTGCACCCTGGAAAAGGGAGACACACACAACTGGAAATGAAAAGTATGGAAACTTGATTGTCATCATGCCAATAGATTTCTCCTTGGTTGTATCATCCACAACTTGGTGTAGTACCTTCTACTTGCAATTTTCTTCCTTCTCAGAAAAACGAATAAAAGATATTTTAAAAGTTTGCACAATGGTCTTTAGGTTTCCACATACTCCCATTTATTAGGGACCAAACTGCATCCTGGAATAGGGACACACACACCACTGGAAATGAAAATTATATGGAAACTTAAATGTCACCATGCCAATAGATTTCTCCTTGGTTGAATCATCCACAACTTGGCCTAACTAACATCTTCTACTTGCAATTTTCTTCATGCTTAGAGCCTTAGAATAACTTAAAAAATAAGATATTCCCATAAAGCATCAGCAGAATATTGGTCACTATATGGAAATAGAAACAGTTCAAGTTTCAAAAATCAATGACTGAAGAAAATTATTAAAATGATAAAATAGGGTATCAAAAATTTGTTTAATAATCATGACGATATGTGTATGTAAGCACAATAGTTAAATGCAGGACACATATACTCTTTCATGGTTATATTCTTATTGCAATGTTGAACCTCTTCCTAGATCCTGCCTACAAGTATTTGATGCAAGGAAGATAGCATACCTTTGTTTTGCAAAATCCAGTCATGCGCAAGAAGCCCTTGTAGTTATTGATTGGCATAATGCCTGGAACAATGGGGCAAGTTATTCCAGTTTGGCGGCAATCACTTACAAACTTCAGAAAAATATCAGTATCATAGAATAGTTGAGTGATAATCAGATCTGCTCCAGCATCAACCTATGAAAGAGGAACTGCCATTAGTATACAGGCAAACAAAATGTGCAGTGGAAAGCAAAAACTGCAAACTGTCAAAAATTTTGGTTTATATCTTTCTCTGACTTCTTTTTAGTTGTGGAGTAGTTATAAGTTAGTGTGTTAGTGGGTCTCTTATATGCGCATGTTTTAGGATAGCAGTTTTAGATGGTTATATTTTGGACTCTATACATTATCTTGTAAGGGACAATTTAAGGGAAATGAAATTTGAATTTCATATGTGTCTTTCTTTAACTTCTCTTTAGTTGTTGAGTAGTTATACCTTAGTGGGTCAGTGGGTCTCTTACATGTGTATGTTTTAGGTTAGCAGTTTTAGTTGGTTATGTTTTGGGTTTTATATATTATCTTCTAATGGACGATTTAAGTGGAACAAAGTTAGATTTATGGGTAGTTGCTCTAAAGGAGAATTTTGCCCCCTTGAAGAGGCAATCTTAGGAGGACTTTCCCACTTGAAGTGGACTCCCTCTTTCTTAATTTTTGTTTAAATATTGATTTAAGAAATAAGCATGCAACATATTTATTGGATTAGAGATCTCAATAGGAAATGAAATAGTAGAAGGTAAATAACCACAAAATATAATAAGAAATCAACAAACAATTATGGAGGCAGTAAATGCAATTCCTCTCTGGCCTACAAACATGGCCCTTTATGCTGCATGCAGTTTAGAAGAGTATCTTATTTTGCACATGTGGATAACAAAAGGAAATGTCTATCAAATCAAAACAAAAGGTTTTGACCTTTGAAACACCATTTTAACTAATGAATTATCTTAGACACTACTCAGAATGTTTTCCTGGAATCATGAATTTCCACTACAAGCAAGTTAGAGTTTAAGAATTAATTTTGGAGAATAAACCACTTGGTATAAATCCTACGACGAATAAATCATGTGGAAGTATAGTAAAAGAAACAGGGCAAAGTTGTAGTTGGTCTATGAAGCGGAACAGCTCTGCACAGAATATGAATCCAAGATGAGAACCACACACATATTGGCTTATACAGATTATGGAGGTGTCTAATGTCTTGGAAAACACAGTTTTTATGCATTTCCCTATTTATATTGGATAAGACTTAAGAGTACTCCTTTAAATGGAGGTTTTTCCTTATCCATATAAGATCTAAGAAGACACCCGACAGCACTCCCATACTGTAGTTAAGTAAACATGAAACAAACTATATATGGAATGATTAGCTTAAATTCGAGCACATCGGAAAGAACTAAGGTTACACACCTTAATTCTGTGTTCGTGGTCCATGCTTAAAAATTTACTACGTTAGAAATCTTTAGGAACTGAATTAGTTTAGATCTTATAGTAGAATCTCCACGCAGCCACCGAAATGCTTTTCGTAATAATGGAAGAAAAATCAAAGTAAATCTGAGAAAAAGCCTTGGACGTCAAATTCATGATGGTGGTGGTAGAGAAATTTAAGCCTACCTTGCTTTTCAAATAAGCAAGTTCATTCAGGTATGCTTCCAAACCGACCGTACCGTTCTCTGATATGACATCAGGATGTCCCTCTGAACAATTTTCACAAAACAAAAGGCTAAGTTCATATTCTGTGACCGAAAAAAAAAAAAAAAAAAGCATCAGATTTTGACAATGAATTCAAAGCTCAACAGACCCGGGTAACCAGCAACCGTTATCCCAAAGTAATTTCCGTAATTTTCTCGAATGTGATTAACCTGCACAATAACGAACAATTAAATGAACTCCGAACTATCTATCATCCAACACATTCCAAAGATGCATTAATGCTAACAACTCAGGCAATTGAATGAATTACCAGGTCAAATGCACAAGCGAAACCACCCTCAATCTGAATAAATCTCGACTGTCCATGCGGAGGATCGCCACGGAGAGCAAGAACGTTCTGAATCCCGTTAGCCTTGATAGTGTCGAGAGCGTGGTTGATCTTCTCGACGGGCATGTTAGTGCAGGTGAGATGCATCATGGTCTCGACGCACACCATGTTCTGCATCTTGTTGGCGATCTCGAGGGTGAGGTCAGCGGTTGACCCCCCGGCACCCCAAGTAATGTCGCAGAAGGCAGGGTTGTGAGCGACCATTCTATCCATCCGCTCGAACAGGTTGTCGACCCCATCCTCTGTCTTGGGCGGGAAGAACTCGAACGAAAACACCACCCGACCTTCCTCCGTCCCCGTCCGGATCTTCTCTATCACCTTCATCTTTCTCTCTCCAAAAGCAGCAACAGCACCACCACCACCAACACCGATGAAATGCGGTAATGGAGAAGCAGGTCGCGAATGCTCCGGAATCCGCGAAAAGAATATATATGCGAACAGAGCGCCATTCCACGGCTCCTCGCCTTTCGGGTCGCGGTCCTATTGTCCTAATCCTTCACCAACCAACGATTTGAAAGTGTGGGAAAATTGTTGAATTTCTAACAATAGAATCATTTTCCACGTGGCAAGTTCAGGTTGCAAACGAATGGGTCAACCTGGTTCTAGCCCATTAGGAGGAGTCTCTGTAGTTAGTTTGAATTGTCTACAGCTACAGCTATACTCTTCTACTCTTAATACTAGTACTAGACCCAAGCCAATCACCATAGTATCCGTGGGTCCCACTATCAGAGTGACGTAGCATATCTTGACTGACCAAGTAGAGAGTCATCCGTATCTTTTTGTCTTCCTCTGCTCTGATTCTCTCTTAAATTGAAAGATAAGGAAGGTCTAAAGTTGTTGCCATGTCAGCAGTCCATGTGGCAAGATTCTTGGAGTAGGTTACAGGAGCGAGTGAGTGACGTTTCCTTGGAGTTGGTGAAACGGATATTAGTTAGCATGGAATCGTGCACTCGGTGCCCCCTTCGTACTTACTACTTAGGTATGGGCGGGACCCACCAAGAGAATCGAAGATTCAAAATCTGGTTTTCGTTTCCCCGACCCCAACAACAATGGAGAGAGAGAAAGGAGGGTAGGGTAGGTGAATGGGACCCACTAGACCAACCACGAGTCCACGACTGTATTCCCTCGCCGATTCCTCGGGAATGACCTACGAAAACGGTTCAAGAACAATAACCGCACGGCCGAGTGCAATATGCAGGAGGGTTGTTATGGTAATTTCACGAGAACGCTGTTGTATTTGTGTTCATTTGAGTCGTGGACCTCGTGGTCTTGTGACTCTTGTCCACTACGGACATTCTGGTTGTTTTCTCTATGGGTGTGAGAACACGCAGCTGGTTGTAGTTTAATTACTGAAAAGTCCCTATATAGCCTGCCCCGAAGGCATGGATGTGTATACTTGTATCATCTAGGGCCGCAAGTCGGGCGGGTCGGCGCAGGTTTATGGTCAAGCAGGCCCATTCTTAAGATTTGGCCAAAGGCTTGAGTTCTTGAGATTCATCTTCGTAACCGAAATTTAATATGTACTGAGATTTGATACATTCGAGATTTCGGGTTAGGTTTCGATTTGGGTTTAGGTCGGTCAATGAATTCATCTAAAATTTTGAGATGTGATATATTTAAGATTTCGGGTTAGATTTCGATTTGGGTTTAGGTTGGTTAATGATGATGCGCGATCTGGTCAAGTCTTAGTCGCCGGTTATCTCGCCTCCGACAGAGCTGAAGTTGCCTGAAACAAGGAAGGAACTGGAGACTTCCAGGGAGGAACCCGGATGGAACACTCCGAAACTCAAGTTAGTGCTCTTGAGAAGGCAAGAGGAAACAATGGATTCCAAGACTAGAAAGCACAAAATATCACATACATTCTTCCCTATGAGATGGGGGCCTTTATAGTCACCTTGTATACTTACTTCCGAACCCCTGTCAGTTTGGGTATCATTACCTCTGCCAGATCGGGTCACTTCCTATGACAGATTGGGTCACTTCCTTTGCCAGATCGGGGATCATTTCGGGTGTCATAACCTCCACTGCCAGTTGCCAGTTCGGGTGTCATAACCTCCACTGTTCCTTGTCAAGGTCATCCCTACCACGTCTGAGATGGCAGTGGCAGGTGGCCGTTGGGGGGCGGCTGTCATGTGTCAAACCCCTAATCAGTCAGGTGCGCCGCCTCCGTGTACGGGCTTCCTGGGCGTTAGGTACAGTTCAGTCAGGCGACTTGGGGCCGAAGTGGTGTGCGAGGTGAAGTCTTGAGTTCGGACAGAAGTATGGCCCGAACTGCCCTTGGGTGGGTAGTTCGGGTCTTTGCCTTTTGTGCTTTTTGTAAGGCTCAGGACCTTGAAGGGAGAGCTCGGGTTCCTCCTTGGGGAGCTCGGGACTCTTCAGCTCGGAGCTCGGGTTGTAGGTTCCCCTTTGGGGGAGCTGACTTTTTGCTCGGAACTCGGGTTGTGGGGCCCGCTGTCGTGCCGAGTTGGCGTTTCTGCCAGGTCACTCTCGGTTGCTTCCACGTGTCGTATGGCCAAGGGGTCGGGTCAAATCTTCCTCCATCAATTGCCCCCCACTCCCCATGCTCAGGGTCTTGACCCGGCGTGGGGAGTTCACGGGATGACAGGTGGATTTGCCTCGGGACACTTTGGCCTCGGTCTGGGACTTCTCTAGTCTGACATGCTTGTGTTCCTGGCTCAACCGGGGTTGGCTTGGTTTGACCAGGGGTCAGTCCTGGTTTGCGTGTAGCTCACGCGCGTAAACGATTTCAAATTTTTGAACGTAAACAACGCGCGCCAAAGTGTCTCTTCCTCGGGGAGTGCACAGCTGATTTCGCGGGGAGTCGTTGGATGGTTTCGATCTTGGCCGTTGACGTATGGGTACAGTGGCTATAAATAGTGGGGGGCCCCTTGTCACTTTCCTCCGTCATCCTTCAGCATTTGTTCCTTGAGCTCGCGTCCAAGCCTGTCAGCTCGCGTCACTTGTTCGTAGTCTGGTAGCTTTTCCTGGTGAGTCCTCAGCCTTCTTTGTTTCGATGTCTAGCTCGGGTAGTTTAGGTAGTCTCCTAGGGAGGTCCGATGCTGGTTTTACGAACCGAACTGCTGCCCCCAACAGCCTTAGTGAGTCCGAGGTGGGGCCTGAGGTAGAGCTCGAGGAAGAGCTCGAGTTCGAGCCCGTATGCCGAGTCACCTCGGGTAGTTTGGCATCCACCTCCCGCCGAGGTCGGGTGCCAGATAAGTTCAGACCTTCCACTATGACGTCAGAAAGGCTTTGGTCCCTTATCGTCCAGTACAACCTGCCCGGGGAGTATACTTACTTTGTACCCTCGGGTGACTTTCCTTGGGAGCACGGTCTGGATGAGATCGTGATATTCCGGGAGCAGCTTGTTGCCGGGCTGCGCCTTCCCTTCCATCCCCTAATCGTCGAGGTCATCTTTAGCTCGGTATTCTGCCCCTTTCGGTGCCGAGGTCCTTGTTAGCTCGGCATTCTGGGCCTTAGGGTGCCGAGGTCTTTGCTAGCTCGGCATTCTTATCCTCACGCTCTGGTAGTGGCTCATGGCCTACTTAGTTTGATAATGTATAGGTAAAATCGTCTCAAGTTGACGATGTTCCATGCCCGGCGTATCTTTTACCTTCTAGGGTCTCGAGGTCGTATGCTCCCCCGAGTACTCTCTTCACTCGGTTGCGGTTCTGATGTATGCGAGGTCCCTCACCTCGTCAAGTAGGTCGAGGTTGGTACGTAGCTCATCGTTATTAGTATTGTCAATGTATGCTTCCAACCGAAGTGAGGGGATTTCGATTTCGGCTGGGATGACTGCCTCCGTGCCGTAGGTGAGGTTGAAGGGAGTTTCTCCAGTGGCGGTCTTCTCTGTAGTTTGGTATGCCCATAGGACGTTGGGCAGCTCGTCTGCCCATAACCCTT